CCTGAGCTAACATCTGTGCTAATCCTCCTCTTTTTGCTGAGGATGACTGGCTCTGAGCTAACATCTATTGCCAATCCTCCTCCTTTTTTTCCCCCAAAGCCCCAGTAGATAGTTGTATGTCATAGCTGCACATCCTTCTAGTTGCTGTATGTGGGACGCGTCCTCAGCATGGCCGGAGAAATGGTGCGTCGGTGCACACCCGGGATCCGAACCTGGGCCGCCAGTAGCGGAGCAAGCACTTAACCGCTAAGCCATGGGGCCGGCCCTAGCTTTCCTTTTTAACAATAAAAAACAAAAACAAAAACAAAAACAGGGCTTAGGGATGCCATATAATTTGCCCACAGTCACCCGGCTCCTCCAGTCACTGGGCAGGGACTGGATTCCGGGTGTGTCTAGACTCCCATTCCACGTTCTTATCCACTGCATGCACTGATTACCCAGGCACCCAAACACCAGGATTCCAAATTGCAGCTGTGACTCTAGCCAGTCCGACTGCCAGGCCCCACTCAGCTCTCTCTCCCTCCGGTTACTCTCTTATGCTTTTATGCACTTGGCTGTGATCAATGCTAGTTAATAATCTGCACTGAGGGCAGAGTGTGGATCTTATTACTTTGACCCTATTGTAATAACATAATATTACAATAATATAATAGAGTTATTGTGAGAATTAGATGATTTTAAGTGATTAGATAAGTGCCAGGCATGCAGAAGGCATTATTTTTGTTTGACAATTATTATCTCATTTAATTTTTTAAAATTACCATAAAGTATTTATCTTCTCCTTTTGTTTATTTTCTAAAATTAAGGAGAATATAATGTGTTTTGAAAACCCAAATAGGTAATATCCTTCCACAGTTCAAACTGTTCTACAGAAAATTTAGGTTAGACAGCAGAATGATTTTTCCTCATGTCTGATAGCACAATAGATTTTTAATATAATGATCATCATTAATATATAATTAAATAATATAAATAAAATTATATAATAAACACACATAATAATAGCATTGCACTAAATGTAAGGTAACACCAGTAACAAATAGAGTCATTCTCCCTGGAAGTCTCATTCAAAGGCCAACATAGA